GCCAGGCATGTCCTCCTGCAGGCGGATGTTGCAAGAATGTTTTAAACTAGTTGAACATATTCAAGAATCACAGACAATTCTTTCATTATTCTTGAATGTTCCTCTCCTCTAGAGGGACACGCCCGATTCAGTTCTGAGAAGGCAAGGGCCTTCGGGGATCTACTGATCTGGGTCAATCAAGACCCGGGTCAATCAGGCCTTGCAGAATCCCGCGAGATCCTGCAAGATCCTGCACCCAAACCCGGGTCAATGCGAGGGATCCTGCAAGATCCTGCACCCAAACCCGCGTCAGTGCGCCCCTGGCCCTGCAGGATCCTGCAAGATCTGGCGCTCTGGCTGACCCCCGTCTGCATTGACCCCCCGTCTCCAGGCTCCCGAGGCCTCCTCAGAAGGGCCCCCGCGGCTTCTCAGGAGCCCTCCCAAGAAGGCCGCCGCCTCCCGAGGATCGGGGATGGACAGAACCCCCTTTAGTAAAACGTGGTTTAGTGAAAACGACCTGAGGCCCAAACCTCGCGGGCGCAAGCCTGGAAAATAGCGGCCACGGCGCCCTCTCGAGAACCGAAAACGGACAATTCACTAATCGACGTGTCACTGTTGGGGGTTCTGTCCACCCCCGAGAGGAGCGCGCCGCCCTCCGAGGAAGGCCCCCACCCCCCTCCTCGCGCCCGCGCCCTGTCTCGTGCGCGCCGGCGAGCACTGCTGCTTCCCGCAACAACGCGTTGCTTCCACGACGGCGCGCGCCGTCCCTGTCGAGGGCCCCCCAGGCGCCCCCCCAGGAGGAGGAGGAGGAGGAGGAGGAGGAGGAGGAGGAGGAGGAGGAGGAGGAGGAGGAGGAGGAGGAGGAGGGGCGCCGAACGAGCGGCCCCCTCCCCCCAAAAAAAACTGCCCCCCGAGCTCTGCTCACTGCGCTCCCCTCCGCCGGACCCCTGGGGACCCGCGCGGAGCGCAGGACCGCCTTCCCCCCCACTCGCTCCTACTCTTCTTCCTCTCGAGGAGGATAGAGAGCAGAAAATCCACCCCCAGAATAAGCACCCCGACCAGCGAAGCCGTTTCGTAAACGCACCCACGAAGGAATCGAACAGGGCAGGGCTGCTTAGTGAACGCCCAGGGCTGTTTAGTAAACGCGAATTGTCGGGGTCGGGGTGTTTTTTCCACCCTTGAGAGGAGGACCCTGCCCCCAACTCCCTCACGCCATCTCTCCTGAGACGAAGCCAGGCTGAGGGCCAACTTCTTGTGAGCGTATGTCGAGAATACCTGGGATCTGGCGGCTGTCGACGACGTCCCGGGCGCCGCGGCCTCCCCTGAGCGCTCCAGCACTCTCTGAGAGCGTTCCGGAACGCTCTGGAACGGAGTAATCCTCGTCCTGGCCCCGTCCGACTTCCTTTTCCTTGTTCTTCTTCTTCTTCTTCTTATTCTTCTTTTTCCCTGTCCCCACCCCGCTCACTCCCTCCCTCACTCCCCAGATCTCCGACGACGTATCAGTTCTTCCCTCCGGGCGCCTGTCCCCACAGCTCGGCCCAGCACTTCCCACGCGCGGCTCCAAAAACCCGGACCGAGGGTCTGGAGCCCCGAAACGGTGCGGTGACACACCGTGCGGTGATCTCGAGATCCCCCAAGAACTCGCCGCGCGGTCCGCCACCGCACGGTTTTGGGACCCTGGAGGCCCCCGTCGCCCGAGACATCCTCGGGGAACGACCCGAGCCCCAACACCGTGCGGGGACCCCGGATCCCCACCGACTCGCCGCACGGTGCGGCCACCGCCCCGTGTTGGAAGGGCCCCCGATAACCGAGGGGCGGAGGTCCGAGAGCGGCCTCCGGAGACCGACGCCCAGGCAAGCAGCGCCCAGATCTGGGCGCTGCTTTTTCCACGCGTCGACGCGTGGAGAGGTCCGGGCCTGGGCGCGCGGAGGCGTCGCAGGCGCGGGGGAGGCACCCGACCAGAGCCCCCGACGGTGACCTCGGCGTGGGCCCCAGGAGGTCCGGGCTCCGGTCGTGTGCTGCTGGAGGTGCCCCTGGCCCAGGGTGCCCCCAACTTTTCGCTCTTTTCTGGAGCCCCTGGGGCCCTCTGCTCTGGGCCTCGCGAGGGGTGCCCTGGAGGCCGTCTGGGCCACCCCGAGAATCCTGGGGGTACCTTGGGCCAGGGGTACTTCTAGCAACACCCGATCCTGCTGCTCCCCGGGGCTGGACCGAAACGCTGTTTTTCGTTGTTTTCTTGTTCTGTGATTCGTTTCGCCCTGCCCGTTTTCCTGTGCCTCCCTGCCAAGAACGGGAACAAAACAACACAGCCGAAATCCAGCAAATCAGCGCTTAGGCCCAGCCCGGTTGCTCCCATCGCATTTCAGGACCACATCCCAGAAATAACTCCGAGCACCCAGAGGAGGCTCGAGACGGTGTCGAACGAGCATCGCCGCCCAGGGCCCGACACGTGAAAACCCTTCCGCCTCGGTGCTTCCTTGGTGCTCGAAACTCTTGCTGGTGGCCGAGGTTAAAGCAGGCTGGAGCAGCATAATCCTGAGGAATCTCTAGGAATCCTCAGGAATCCTAGGAACCCCTAGGAATCCCCAGGAACCCCTGGGAATCCCCAGGAATCCTTAGGAAGCCTGGGCCCCTGCCAGGGGGGGCGGCTTCTCCTCCCGCATGGCCTTCCGACGGCCCCGAGGGCCCGCGGCCGCCCCCGGAGGCCGGGAGCAGCGAGGCGCCGTGCGCCGCGAGGGTTCTTCACGACGCGAGGGGGTCGAGGGGGTCGAGAGGGGAAGGAGTAGGCTTCGGACCGGGCGAAAGGGGGGGACAGCAAAGGGGGGGGTGAGAATCAGCTCACGCAGCTGATTTGCCCAGCGCCTCCCGGCGCCAGAGGCGGCTACGGATCGAGGAATGGGCCCCTCGGTGGGGCCGAAACCTGCTGCATGCTTCCCATCGGGGATCTTCTGACCCGGGTCAATCCAGACCCGGGTCAGTCAAGCCTGCAGGATCCTGCAAGCTCCTGCAAAATCCTGCACCCAAACCCGGGTCAATGCGAAGGATCCTGCAGGATCCTGCAGGATCCTGCACCCAAACCCGGGTCAATGGGAGCCTGGCCCTGCAGGTTCCTGCAAGATCTGGCGCTCTGGCTGACCCCCGTTTGCGTTGACCCCCGTCTCAAAGCTCCCGATCCCAACTCCTCCCCTCTCGTCCGGCCCCTCGGTGGGGCCGAAACCTGCTGCATGCAGCAGATGTCGTACCCCCCCCACCTTTCCCAACTCCTCCCCTCTCGTCCGGCCCGAAGGCCGCATCGACGTCGGAGCTCCGCGCGGATTTCCTCGGGCCGGGGCCGGGGGCCCCTCGCCGACGGCGCGCGGAGCTCCGAGGGCGGGGGATGCCTCCACGGCTTCTTCCTGGACTCTCTTCTGAGTGTCTCTCGACGCATTTTTTTTTGTTTTTTTTTTTTTTGACAGGCGCCCTAAACTCGAGCCAGCTCGGGTTGAGTTAAGAAAAGCTCGGACTAGTTTACCCGCCTGATGCGGTCAGTCCGAGCTGTCTGAAAGGGGATGCTGGTCTGGAGCGTGCTCACCCTCCCCCCGAAGCTGTCTGCAGGCCTGAGAAAGCCCAACAGGCTCGGCCCGATCAACAGCCTCGCGAATTCATAAAGGGGCCCAGGGACACACACAAAGACCCTACACAGACACAATCATCACCGGCTGTCCCTGTGTTTTCCTAGACCTTCTGGGTTCTCCTCTTCCCCCCTCACTTTCCATGATAATCTCCTTCCCTTCTTCCTAGGAGTCGACGATTGACTGTGTCTGTGCCGCAGCGCCCATGCCACTCGAGCCCCAGTTTGGTTATCGGCGGCGGGGGAGAGGGGGGAAGTGAGAAGGAGAGGGCCTTCTCGGAGGGCGGCGGGACGACACAGAAGGCCTTCGTGCCTTCGGAGACGTTTTCTGCGACTTTAGAGGCCTCCTAGATGGGGTCCGAGTAGGTGGGGTCGGAGGATCGCACCGCATCGCCAATACATCGGCGATGCATCGGTGATGCACGGGCGACGCATCGTCGACGTCGGCAATGCATCGGTGACGTCGACGTGAAGCAAATCGGGCCCCACATCAAGCTGCATCGGCGATGCATCGGCGATGCGGCGCGATCCTCCGACCCCACCTACTCCGAGCCCCCCCCACCCAGGAGGCCTAGAGTCTTCGGGAAGGCTTAGAAAACATCCAAAGGCCAGGGGACTTTCGAGCCTGCTGAGAGGGTCCGCCCCTTCTCACTTCCCCCCTGGGCTCGCCGCCGAATCTACTGGGGCACCCAAGCTCATGCTGCGAGAAGCGCGAACCACTTCGCGCACGCCACCCCCAGGAGAGGAGGAGGAGGAATGGGGAGGCGGAGCCGAACCACGAGCCGCGAGCGTCCTCTTGCCCTCGTTGGCGCCATGGATTTACATTCGAACTCTAGAACAAAAGGTGGCCGGTAAGGACGCCAGGGGCCTTGGACGCCGAAATTGATACTTTTGGAGCGGCGGGCTGCCAACACCCCAGAGACGCAGAGGCACCCCGACCCACCCTGGTCCTTGCCGAGTGGTCGGGCCGCAGAGGCAGGGACGCACGGGTACGATGGACAGTCCCGCGTCCTCGCTATCAGTCTTGACTGCAGGAGGCCTCGACCCAGACATCGCTCCAACATTTTCGATGCGTGGGCCCCGGAGGTCTTGGACCACTTCCCCGGGGCCGGTTTCTCGTCCTGCATCGCTTTTTGACGGTCCCGAGGCTCAGCGAGGGCCCCAGGAGGCCGAAAATGGCCCAAACCCAGCCGCTCCATTCTTTTGGGAGATTCGGATCTCTTGGGATCTGGGGATCAGCAAAAAGCGCGGAATGATGATAAGAGGCCTCCTAGATGGGGTCCGAGTAGATGGGGTCGAAGGATCGCGCCACATCGCCGATGCATCGGCGACGTCGGGGATGCATTATCGGCGACGTCGGCGTGGGGAAACACGGGCTCCACGTCGAGCCGCATTGTCGATGCCTCGGCGATGCGTCGCGATCCTCCGACCCTATCTGCGAAAAAAAAAACACCTATGAGGCCCAGAATCCGGGGAGGGCGCTTTTTTTCAGCAAAACGCGCGGAATGATGAGGATCCCCAAGTCGGTGGTCGGGTGCCCGGGCCGCGCCGCGCCTGCCCTAGCGCGCCCTCACGCGGAGGACCTGGGCGGCGGCGACGACGACGACGACGACGACCACGACGAGGACGACGAAGACGAGGACGACGAGGACGACGAGGACGGTGACGACGGCGACGACGGCGGCGGCGGCGGCGCCGGCGGGCCGGCGGGAAGAGTCACTGGGGCGAGGGTCGGGGGCGTCCCACCCTGACCTGCCAGGAGGGCTTACACATAGCACCAGGACATCGACGTCCTAATTCCTGTCGAGGTTTTCAGGCAGTCCGGATCGATCTATAGGTCTGGAGAGCCATGTTGAACCGCTCTGGAAGGTCAGGGCAGGCGGGGGGCTTCCAAGAGGGGGGGTCGCAGAGCATGGCCCGAGGCACGTGCGCGACACATGGGGGGGGGGCCAGGGGGCGCACAGACACAAATCAGGAATGGGCCATGCTGCCTAGACCCCCTCGAGCCGTGAGAAACTCGTGACGGGAGGTGTCTCGCCATCTTCGGCCTCCTGGGGCCCTTCCCGGGCCTCTCGGGACCATCAAGAAACCACTCGGGAGGCAAAACCGGTCCAGGGGATAGGGTCTAGACCTCTGGGGGTCAACATTGAAAAAATGACGACGTCGGGGGTCCGGGGAAAGAGCCACGCTATGTGGGGAGATGGAATGGCCCTGGCCATGACAGAATCGGACCTGGGCCAGAAGAGCATCCGTCAAGGCTACGCGACCTCCGCCAGCCAAGACACACACACACACACAGAACACCCAAAAGGTGCTCTCCGCAGGATGCACAAGAGCATCCAACAGACACGAAAGACATCAGCGTACCCTCCCCGAACCGATCTCGACAAGAAACTTCGGTCTGACTGTATCCGCCCCCCCAATGTCATCCCTGCCCCCCCCCTGGGACGTCCCCCGAGGGGGGTCACAGATCTTCCCCTCGCGCCTTGGCACAGCGCTAACGTCGGGCAAGTTCTCGCTATTTTCGGCCCTCCGGATGGGGTCAGGGGGGGGAAGGGGGGGGGGGCTTGCCAGGCCTCGGGGCTGATGACAGCACGACTCAGGAGGAAACGCCTATCCAGACCTCTGGGGGTCCACGTCGCAGAACAGCCACGACGCCTGGGATCTGGAGTCGAAGGGGCACGGATCGCCTGTGGTCTGATGTTGGAATCCTGGCGGTGTTCCTCGATTTCGACCCCTGGGGCCCTTCTCTGAGGGCCCCTTTCAGTCATGGGTCCGGAGCGATATATTGACCCTGCACGGGGAAGGAGTCGGGGCCTCTTCTGGAGCCGCGCGCTAAAACATCTGAACAAAACGTACCGTATGGAAAGAGCATGCAGTGGAGGCTAATCCACAAGAAACCTTCCACAAGAAACACAACCCTGAGACCCCAGGACGTCCATTGATTTTCGGCGTGGGAGCGTCACGCTTTCCATGGCAAAAAAAACAAAACCCAAGAAACCCAGGGCCTCCTGGAGGCAAGCAGGGTGTTTCTTGGCATGGGTCTCCACTGTATGCTGAAACATAACAGCAATACTCATCAAGTGACTGCAATAATAGATAGGACGGAAAGAACAAAGCACAGGACAAACAATGTGGCGTGCAGAGAAAGGGATTGTGGAGGGCGGGAGCCGCCGTCGAACGGCGGCTTGAGCATGATGATGTGTGCTCACGCATCGGGGAGCGAGGGGACGGGAGGGGGAAGGGGAAGGAAAGCGTAGAGGTTCTACAGGGAAGAAGGGGGGAGGACGAGGGCGAGAAAGATGCCGAGAGAGAGGACAGGGGGAACAGGGGGTTGGGTCGGGGACCGGCGCCGGAGCGTGGCCTGGGGCGGCGGTGCTTACACCTCTTGTGGGCGGAGCTGTCGGTGGCGCAGGGCAGTGGCGCAAAGGGGGGGCGCAGGACTGATCGCAGGACCCAAATGCGTCTGGTCCCAGTGGCCTGCCTCATGACACACACACGCACGCATACGCGCAGAACCAGACTCGTACACACAGACAAAGACACACACACACACGCATACACAGAGACACGCAACGATACACACAGGCGCATGCACACAGACACACAAGCATCGACACATAAGACACACAGGCACAGAGACACATAGACAGACACACTGAAACATAGACAAGGAACACACATAGTAGGGAGCACACACAGCGTGCAAACCATGTAAACGCACAAAAAACGTCACACAACACACATAGACACACACAAATACAAACACAGAACACACTGTTTGGCGGTAGCGGCCTCGCGCGCAGCGACGAAACGGAGAACGTGCAACAGTCAGCACAACGTGCGCGGCGCCCGGCCCCCAACATCGCTAAGGATGTAAACTACACACACGTCGCGCACGCACGCACACAAACACAAATACAAACACAAACACAAACGCACACACACACATACACACTATCTCTCACACACAAGCACGCACGCACAGGCAAACGCGTACGCACGTACAGGCACGCGCGCACGCGTACGCGCACGCGCAGGCAGGCGCGTACGCACGCACACG